CTGTGTTTGATGTCTTCTGTTTTATTGTTAGCTTTGTTGTCTTGCTTGAGATTTGGATCCTGTATTGCGATCAGTTCAAAATCCTCTTTGTTTTTGAATTTGCTAATACATGCTGATCTGTCCTTTTCATGGTGAAAGTGAATTGTATACCATCCATTTCTATTGTAGCGTATGGTTGAATTAGATTGTATTTGTTGGCGGAAAGCTTGAAGATGTTTGTAAGATACTTAATCTGTTCTTCCTGATTCTCTCCTGATATGTTTGCTATTAGAGTTCCTGCTTTATATGTCCCTTTTATACAAATGTAGTGAGGGTTTGTTGGATGGAAGACTCTGTTTCTTGTTGCGTAGTTTTCTTTTGCTCTTATGTCTTTCAGTGGATCGGAAGTAAGTATTAGCATATCAGGATCTTTGTCTGAAGAAAATTGCTCTTTCATGACTATCTCTGAACGTGTGTTTCCTGGTCTTTGGTTATGTTTCCAGAGGTCTGTTCATTCATGATGACTTCTGATATTTGTTATTCTTCATTTGCCTGCTTTATTACATCTTCTTGATTAATGTAATTTTCCGACATATTGCTTTTACTCCTTTCAACTGACTCATGTTGATAGATGTAGTTGTAGTTTCTTGTCTCGGGTTGTCCAGTGAATAGTGTGGTTTCTGAATCTTTGTTTTGTGCATATCGTGAATCTTGACCTGAATGTAGGATATCCACAATCTGGGACACTTGTTTTGAGTTTTCTAGCATGTATCTGTTTAGTATGTTCATGTCTAATTGATTAAATGTCCAGATTTGTTTGATGTATTTTTTAGCCAACATTCATTTTATAGCTGTATGTGAATTGACATTGAGAAGTTTTGCCACTACTGCATCTATGACTGTAATGTTTACTATTGCTCTTAATTCTGCTAGTTCTGATGCTGTATTTGTTGCGCCATCTTCGATCAACGTATGGAATCATCTTTGTTCTCCTTTATTGTGATTGTCTTCAATCGTTTTGAGATGTTCTATTATTATATTTTCTATTTGGATTGGATTGAAGTCAGCCATTGTTTTGGACTTTTGCTGGATTGACATGTGTGAACTGGCTTAATTTGCTGTTTGTTTGTTGCGTGTTGATTTGCTTGGAACAGCTTATTGCACAGTGTAGTTGTCCTTTTTTGATATATACAATTGAAATTAACACGTGTTATACCAAGTTGTTTGTGGACTGCTTGTTTTGGTAAGCTCTGTTTGTATTTTGTTGCTTATATTATAAGATCTTTTATATATTTTAATTATATAATTAAAGTTGTATAAATATTAGAAAAATGATTTAAAATTAAATATTAGATTATAAAAATTTACAAGATTATTTGAATTGTGAAAATTCTTGTATTAATTAGATTTAAGTTTATATTGTATAATTATTGTATATAAAATAAGTTAAAATTAGAAAAGTTTTTTACTTTATTAAAATTTAGAAATTAATTGATAAATTTAATATCAAAAGTATTTATTATATTGATTATTGTAATTTTTTATAAAATTACATGTCATTAAACAAAAGATCAATTGAATTTTAACATTATTATAATATATTAAGTAATTGTATAGATATATTTGAATTCTGATATTCTTAACAATTTTAATTATATAAAAGATTTAATTATTCTAATTAAACTTTTCAAAATTATAAAATAAATAAAATAAAATTTTTTTATTTTTTTATATTGATTGTAAATTTTGTAATATATATTTTTTATGATTTTTATAAAAAGTTTGGATATTAAATTGTTGACTAAAAAAAATCTTTGTTTTTCTTCAAGAAATATAATATTAAAATTATTATGGCTTATTAAAATTGTATTTAAGTTTTAAAAGTAATTTTATATATAGTTTTAATAAAATTATTAATTTTAATTTAAAGTTTACTAAGTAAGAATTTGTTAAAATAGAATATAAAAAAAGTATTTAAATTTTCTTATAATTATTTAGTTATATATTCATTTTTTATTTTATTTTTTCAATTATATTTAAATAGTTTTTTAATAATTATAATTATAATTTAATTAAAAATCTTTTTATTAAACTTGAATAGATTTTCAAGAAAAATAAATATGTTTAGATATTTGATACTTTTATATAATTTAAGTATTTGAATTAAATAATTATTAAAATTAATAATATTATAAAAACCACATTTGATTTTAATATTGGTAATTATTTTTATTTTAATTTTATTACAAATAATAATATTTATTGAAAAAAGATTTTTTATTTTCTGTTTGTTATTACCATATACCACTGCATACAATACCCTAGGTATTAATCAATTTACCCTCTAATAAATTGATTAATACATGGAGGAGTATTTTACTAGGAGGGGGATAATATTAATAGCAGGATATATTATTATTACAAAATTCAAAATATTATTGTCTTACTTATTATTATATTAATATACCTAGGTAGTAATCAATTATTAAGTAACAATTTTCTTGAATACTACCTGGTATTATTAGTAGAGGGATAGTATTTGGGAGAGGGTATTGTATGCAGTAGTATACAGTAATAATAAAAGTTAAATTATTCATATATATTAAAGTTATGGTTCTGAAAATTGGAATTAAATAGAATCAAACAGAATCGCATAAGGTTTGAAACACTATTAAAAATGATAGTGGGGTATACCCCACCTATTAAATTTAATATAAACTTGAGAATCAAATACAGAATCGAAGAGAATCGTTAGGATTCTTAATTAGAGTATTAAAAGTTATATAGCTTTGAATAAGTTGATAATGGTCTAATTTAGTAATAAGTAAATTATATAATATTATTCAAGTAATAAAAAATAATATTTTTATCTTGTTTAATTTCAAAGTTTTAAATTGATACTGAAATAATATCAACTTATAATAAATTTAATACATGAGTTACAATTATAGTTCTGAGAATTGAAATTAAATAGACTTATATAAACTTATATAAAGTTTGAAATATTATTAAAAATAATAATAGATTATCACATATTGAATTTAATATAAACCTAAGAATTAATAATAAAATAAAATCAAATTCTTAGAATTCTTAGTTATAATCTATTATATTAAAGTTATAGTAAATTTAATTTAAACTTGATACCAAAATTATATTGTTTAAAACTTTATTCAATTATGTATATTAATTAAATTATTTAGTTGTTTTTTAATTTAATAAAGTTTTTTTTTATTAATTATAAATAATATCTTGTTTATAATATTTTTTAATATTAAATATTATATACAGTATAAAATTAAAAAAAAATTATTTATCAAGATTTTTATAATTTAGATTATTTAATTTAAATGTTTTAAAATTTTGATTTTATTAAAATAATAAGTAAATAATTATGTTTCTTTCAAAAAAAATAATTAATTTATAAAATTTTATATACTAAATTGTTTTAAGATTTGTTTTTAACTTGATAAATTAAAAGTTTTATATACAATAGGTTAAAATTAACTTTTATTTTAATAATATATATTTTTTATTTAAAAAAAAAAATTTTTTTTATAAATATAATAATAATAAATTAAAATTTAATAAACAGTTTATATCGAATATTTATTTATAATAATAATAATAATAATAAATAAATAAATAAATATAATAAATCAAATAACAAATAATATAAATTGAATTAAACAATAAAACCTTAATATATATATTTTATTAATAAATTTAAATATATTCAATTGTTTAATTTGATATTTGATAATAAATTTTATTATTAACATGTAGTTAAATAATTAGGAGTAAAAAAAATATAAAAAAAATTAAAAATATAAAATTTCTACAGTATATGGTAATTACAAACGTAATTTACCGATGTTGGTCTATAAATTCGATTTTTTGTTTCTTTTATAAATTGCCACAGTTTCGGGATTGACAATAGGCAAACTTCTTTACTTTTATTAGGCAAATATTCTGCATACATACATTCATTCTATTGTTTCTTTTACATTCATTCATTATCGCGTCTCAAATACTTGTATTCCATTACCAATAATTCTTTTTAGCGGGTGGTTATTCCTGTAACACGTATTCTATTAAATTTGTAATACGCAATTGGTAAGTTTATTTTATTAAATACTGACTTTTAGCAATGACCACATGTGCTTGACACATTCTCCGTTTTACTTTTAAAGAAAATTAACATAATTTCTTCATATCGTTAACACGAATTAAACTAATTTTAGGAAGGTAATGCACCATCACCAGCTAAACCGAGAAAGTTACATAATCCAGAAAATCACATCACGATTATTAGTCATAAACGAAATTTTGTGATAAAAATATTGATGCGAGGTATATAAGTCAATGATTCAGAGTATTCACGAACTTTTGACTTTTACTATCTTTTCCCGAAGGAAAAAAAAGTTTAGTGAGTTAATCAAGTGCCAGATTATGTGATCTTTCGTGAGACGACGCTTCATAACTGACGTCGCATTTTCCGTTTGGATATCTAGATAATTAGTATAATCACTTTAGAGACGCGTCTGCCTAAACCATTTTTCTCAAACTTTCCGTTTATTTCCTTTGTCTTTTTTAATTCGGAAACCTGAAACAGTTCGGATCCAGAACAACATTGGAAATCTTGAACGTTCTCACGTCGGTATTTGTAATTCGCAATGGTTTCTCGGCAAGATTCAGTTGATCCGATCAACATGCATGAAGAACAGGGGGACATTTCCGATATGTCATTAGTCACTCAGGAGAATACTGGTGTCGGTTCATCACAACAACCCGATCTTGAAGATGTGAATCATCAGGCCATATCACTTTTACTTCCTCAAGATTCTTTTGATTCTTCCCAGAGTACTATAAAAGAACAAACATCAAAAGATTCGTTCACTGATCGCGATGGTTCAGATGAAGAAATATCTTCCGTTCCACGTGTTTCCAATATGATTGATGACAAAATTTTAGAAAGCACTGTTGAACGGACCGATGATAATGCAGATGAACAAACCCTTCTTGGCAGACAAGGGAAGGTTTCAGAAAACGGTTCGCGGAACAACAAACATGAAAACCAAATTGGCGAAGTCTCACTTATGGAGTCAGAGATGGATAACATTATAAACAAATATAGAAGGAAGATGGAACAAGTCCTTAATACTTCTCATTCAGAGTTTGATACTCAGGTGGATAAGACATTCGATGATATGGAGAATGATGTCGACAAGATCGAGCTGAATATAATCATCCGACTGGTCGACGAACAACTTAAAGAAGTCGTTCAAACATGTTCCAATCATTTTATTGAGATCGAACGGAATCTGATTTCGGAGATAGAAAGATTAAAGGAACGCGAGCCGAAAATCAAACGCGACATTGACATCGCTGTGGAGAAGAAAGTAAACAAGACGTTGGAACATGACAAAATTACCCAAGTGATGTCTGGAATTGAATCTTTGATCACGACCAAGATGAATGAATGCATCAAAGACGTCGGTAAAAAAATCGATCAGGTAGAAGAAAAACTCCAGGCACTCGAAATCGCGAGTCCAGAGGATAACAATACTACCGAAATAATTACTGGCATGGAATGCAAGGTGAACAACTGGCATAATGACTTCGATAAAAGAATAACCAGTATCGAGGAAGCCGGATCTTCTATTGAGAGAAAATCTTCCGGCATCGAAGCCATGCTCATGTCATTACAAGAAAGTATCGCACATTTAAAAGAGAGCTTGCGGTCATTGGTTGAGCATCAAGTAGAAAGATTGATGAATGTTGAAGTTGAAAAATCAAATAAACGAGTCAACGAAGTTTTTGACAAGATCGAAGAGGTCGAAAAAGAAACGTATTTGTTGAGAGAAGATGTGGAAAAAATAAAATTCGAAAAGAAGCAGGATAATATTGGTGACAAGTTTAAAGTTCATGATAAAAAAATTGCTTCTGTTCGAGAAGAATTGAAAAAACTTGAAAATAAATGCAAAGAACTTGAAAGTCAATATATGAAAGTGCTCGAAACTAGAGCAAGCACGGAGGAAAATGTGTATTCAGTGGAGCAGCGGCTACGAGACGAAATTAACGAAAGTTCGAATGAGATTGTGAAACGACTTGAAGAAGATAGGGCGGCTAAGTGGAAACAGATTGTCGATGCCGTGAAGGATGAAGCTAGTAAAGTGATGGAGCGGATTGA